GCTACCTAAAGCAATTCCACACTGTGATATCTACAGAGAAGCTTACTAAGAGTTAATAATTCTGTATACAGTAAGAGTTTGTATCTTGCAGTAAAAAGGGGCACAGTCCCAGATCAAACGTAAAGAATAAAAGGAAATGTTGTATAGACATGATCGGTCTTGAGGAAATGCAAACTTCCTTTGGAAAATACATCACTGATGCTGTAACTTAAGCGCTTTGTACTGTACAGAACCAAGGGAGAGTAGATGCTGATGGACTATTACAATTCTGATTTGTCTCAATAGCCTAATACAGTTTTTGTCCAACTCTCTCCCTTTTTTTTTTTTTCAAACCAGAATGTACAGATGTTTCTGGAGTTGGAGCCACTTATGAGTGATCAGTCTAGCAGCAAAACTTGGGTTTGCATCACATAAAAGCAGTAGTAGATAAATGAGCTACTACTGTAGTTGTCAGATTGTCCTCTATGGACTGTCCAGTTTAGGGGGGTGACACACTTGTGAGAACATGTGTCTCTTCTTGCTTCCTGGCTGGTAGAGGAATACTGAAATTGATGTGTTTAAAGTTTTCTTCCCTCCCTGCACGTCCTTTTTGTATGTTTATAGTTGTCTGTCTTTTCTGTGTTCAGTTCAGGCAGTTTCCTTCCATGCTTTTCGTGTCAGCCCTGAAATTACAGGAGGGCAGTCTCTGCATTGCTGGGGTGCTTAGAATAAGTAATTACAGGGTAAGGCTGCACAGCCCATGAGCAGGTTAGTGCACAGAGGTCTTTTGGCGTACAGTATCTTTATACAGATAAAGCGTTCAGATGCTTTAGCTACGAGTCTGTCAGTCTTTACTAGGTGTGTGTGTAGAATGATATTTTTCTCAGCAAATTTGGAGATGTTTTTGCAAGGATTATGAGTATGTGTACATTTTAAACAGCTATTTAAATGGTCAGTTAAAAAAGAAATTGTAATGAGGTGTCAGTTTTGTTTTCTATGCTCCTGTATGTAGGGAATTAAGAGAAAACAAGAGAACTTTACCAGTAAAATAAGCCAACTAGACATTACTTAAGTCAGTGTATGATTCTATTCTATTACAGATTGTCTGAAGGAACCTCAGAGTATGGAGTAATAGTTTCCAGGAAGTTTACTGAAGATGTTTTTAATTAAAATAGTATAAAAATATACAAATAATTGTTGAAGATATTTTAGTAGCACATTTCTATAAAATGTCATACCAATGTTTGTCTAAACACCTTTATTTTTTAAATTAGCACACTGTCCTAAATAAAGTAAATTGTTTGCAAAACTGCTTTATTTCTCTGTATTATACATATATTTTAAACGTGTATATACTTATTGATATGTTTTAGTGTACTGTTTGCTTTCCAAAAGTGATAAAGGAAGCTTATGACATTCTAAATAGGAGTGATGCAAGGTATTTTACCTTTGCATTGAAAGTATGGAGCAAACACCAAAAAAGTGAGATTACTTCCTGATTTAAGTACTGAATTTGATTATATTGCTGGGATTATTGCCCATGTTCAGCTCTGATCCTATTTCTCAGTGTAACTCAGAAGAGTTATATGTATGAGTTTCTTTTTGCTGCTGGAAGGAATTTAGGGTTGGAAGTCTTACAGAAGAAAGTTGCAGTTCAGTGGACTGTAGTAAACTGAACAGTACAGTGATGTGTTTCTTATCTGAAGAGAGAAGGTTGGAGTTTGACATTCAGATTGGATTGCTTCAGGAACCATCTTTTTTCTATGGGATAAGGGGTGTGCTGTTGCCTGGGTAACAATCCAAGGTGGCTATAATTCATCTCCAGCAATTGGGTTAGTTTACATACTTTATTTCTCATTTGGTCAGGTGAGTATAATTTTTGTCAAGGTGGCATTTAAGTTGCTATTCTGGTTTTCAGGAGAAGAGTATTTTCTAATTTCTTCTTTCTTATTGTGATATTCTCTCTTAGAGTAGTCAGTCTCTGGTAGCCTTTTGAAATCAGAGTAGGAATCACAAACTTTGGAAAATCTGCCTTATGTGTGTTAGTCTTATTATTCCTGACAGGCAACAAACAATTAAGAAGGAAAAGAGAAGGCAAAGAATGGGGTTTGTTTGTTTTTCCTAGCAGCAACAGTTTTAGTTGTTGGGCTGTAAAGTTAACCACACTGTCTTCTAAAGCTGTCAGAACATTACCCAAGTTTGGATTGTCTTTTGCAGTTGTTCACTTCTGTTTCTAGCTATGATGTCTTTATGGTATACTTCAAATTTCAGAGTTAACTTGAATTGCCCAGAATTTATTCCACTCAAATTTTGAATATCTCTGAGAACGGAGGTTTCACAGCCCCACTGGGCAACCTGTTCCAGTGTTCAGCTGCCTTCACTGTGATCCCCCCTCTCCTTATACGTGCTCATAACTTTCTTGGTGTGGCTTCTGAATATTTGATCTCATCCTGCTGTTGTATGCTACCCAGAGTCAGGTATATGAGGTAGTGTAATACAGCAAGTAGATCCTTCCTTAGCCTTCCTTCTCCAGGCAGAATGAACTTCGCTTCCAGATACTCATCTGATATGTAGTAGTGCAGCCTTCTAACTATTTTGATGGGGCCCCTGCTGCTTTCTCTCCAGTTTGTCATCTGTCCTGGGGGCTCAGAACTGGACACAGCACTCCAGCTGTAGCCTCATGAGTGCCAGATAAAGGAGAATCATCACTTCCCTTCATCTGGTTATGATGCTCCTGCTAACTCGGCCCAGTGGGCTGCTAGCTTTCAGTGCTGTGAGCAACATGATGCTGAACTGTGTTCCATTTGTCCATTGGACGTTACAGGTTCTGCCCCAGACCTGCTTGGCAGATGCTTGGCCCTCAGCCTGCGCCATTGCATGGAGTTTTTTCTAGGTGGGAGCTTTGTGTTTGTCTTTGTAATAGGTAAATAAAATCCTTACTGATTCAGCTACACTAACGAACGTGAGCCTTTTGTTTTCTTATCCTGTCAGATCCAATTTCTGTTTAGATTTATGTCTGAGATCCTGCTGGAATTGCATGGGTGAACGTCTTTTCTCTTTTAAGTGCAAAAATTTCAGTGCTTCAAGATATTTTTATTTTTTTTCCCCTCAGATGTTAGCTGGAATCCATTTACAAGGCATTACATCACAAAATTCCTCATGGCCTGCAGTCAAATAATTACAAAGATCAGGAATTGAGTTTATCTCCATATTATTTTCTAGTGAGTTTGCCAGGAGGACGACACTTTTTTCTTTTTTACAAGGATTGATTTTTAGTTTATAAATCAGGCATTCAAATAGGCATGAAATAGATTTTATGACTGATATTATGCATTTGTCAAAGACTAACAACAAGCTATAGTAACAGAGTGGAAAAATGCCCTACATGCACTTTTATTATTCAAAATCTTCGTACTTTATATAAGAAAAAAAAAATCCAGAATTGTTTTACACCTTAAGATGTTTCTTGATACAGATATAACTCTTCTGTCCATATTGTAGCCATATATAACTATATGGTGCCCCATGATCAAGATTTAACAAAGCAAAACCTTTTGAGATCTATAGGAAACTGACTGTTAGTTTTGAACCTGCATTTAAAAAAATCTGACTGTTGCTTAGCTGAACAAGGATAGTAAGCTAATGGGATAGCTTTTAAGTGTCTGCTGAAGTTCCAGAAAATAGAAGGATGTAATCCTAATGCTTCATTGACAGAGGCCTTATTTTTTTACCCTGAAGCCTTAGTCACAAGTATTCAAACTTGCCTAGAACCTTGTTAATACATTGTTGGTGACAGTACCATTCATGGTTTGAACAGTTCAAGAAACATTTCATCCTTTCAGAATCTTGAGACTGGGTATGAACACTGTGCAGAGAGGAGCAGAACAGTCTACCTCCCTGATTTGCTCTGGAATCCTTTCTTTGGGACATAAATGTTTCCCTGAGTTGTCAGTGTCAAAGACTCTAAAGTTTCTGGCAGCCATTCATCTCTTCTTGGCTTGTGTTCTCTGCTTAGTATCCTTGCTTTGTTGAATGTGTATGTTTAGTAGCGATGCTTTGGAATCACCTTCACTCCCTGTTTTGCTGCTTTGTTCTTCAGTGCCCATGACCAAGGACACTGGGATCTCCTCCTCCTGGAAGAAATATCCAGGAAGTCTATACAGCAACTTTTCTTACTGTATAGGCACAGCCAGAAGGGTCAGGTAATGCGTTCCCTTCTGGTCTCAGAGTTATTAAGTCTTAAATGATCTGCTTATGCTTCCTTGATCTGTCTTGTGTCTAGTGCTAAATGGTGTACACAAAGTATACATTCTTTGGATGGTTAGTTTCAGAAGCCTTGCAACTTTTCATGACCAGCCTGTTAGAGAGGGATGGATTTATTCTGCTTATGATCTTTAATCATGAAGACATCTTTATTCATCTTTATTTGCTTCATCAGGCTAAGCAGTGTTGAGGTCTAACATTGTTAGATCTCCATACAAATACTCGTATTTAAAGATGAATGTATTTCCTCCAGGGTACAGCTACAGATGGGTTGAGAGCGCTTGTCATCTCCTGGCTAATTAGTTAATTCTGTACAGTCATTCCACACACCCCCTCCTTGCCCTGTTACTTGACCTTAAACTGAGGTAACTTCAGTGTTGGGATTAGTTACTCATCACTGTGGGGTTTAACGACGTGACAATGATATCTTGACTTTATATGTTTATTGTACCATAACTTTATTATTTTTCGTCACTGATGTCACAGCATCCTCATACCAGGCTTATGCTGTGTCCCTTTTACTCTTCCTGAAGCAGAGTGGTGCCAGCTTGCAGTGTTTGTTCTGTGCTTGCAGGATGAAAGAATAGAAACATCCCTTTCTGTCTGAGAGAAGGCATAACTAATTAGAGGATGTATTGAAGTAAACAATTTCTTTGAAAAACTGTTGTTTTATGGGTGAATAGTGGGCATTATATCATTTATCTTTACAAAATCTTGTTACATGTTTCACATGCATAGTAATTAGTATCTTTTTTCAATTACAGTTCATTGCCATGAAAAGGAGGATATGATAGTCTGCCCTATGAAACAGGTTTATGTGTGAAATCTGGCAGGTATGTGTATCCGTATGTGTGGTGAGAATGCAAACCAGTACAAAATATAATTAATATCTATTCTTTCTTTCTTAAATATTTTTTTAGCTTCTTGGTAAGTTAGTTGTATAGCTGAAACATTACTGAAGTACATATTTTTGTAACTACATTTGTAATCGTTTACATTAAAGATAAGTTAGCAGGTAGCACTTTAAGATGAGCTTTAAAGATTATGAAGACTAAGGAATCAACCACTTTTACTCACCTGTTGCACTGTATCCTTGACTACTTGTATTGTTTGCTTTGTTTGTTTGTTTGTTTTAATAGTGGGAATTGGACCATTGTTAAAATGTATTTTTACTTCAGTAACAAGTTGTCTTAGTATGTTTTCAGATAGTTCTTGCAGATCAGTCATGTTAGGTACCAATACTTGCCTGTCTGATGGAGATGTGTGTTGAAACGTAGTGTGTCTCGGTGGGGTTTTGTGTAGCTTCCTGACAGAGCTTGGAATCTAGACTCTACTTGAATCCTGGGTATTCAGATTCTTAGTGTAGCCAAAAGGCAGAAATTCTTGCTCACGGAATATTAAAATATCCCGTGGATGTTGATGTATTGATAATTTGTTGCGAGAGTTGTAAAAGCTGTTCTATTCTCATTTTACTACAGGTAGCACAACGACCTGTGGAATATGAGTGATGACAAACCCTTTTTATGCACTGCCCCTGGATGTGGCCAGGTAATGGTCTTATTAACACTGGTCAAATAAAAGTAAAATATATTTCTAGGGATTGAAGAAAAGGGGGTTTATGATAATTGGTAGAAAGTGTCTGTTCTGCTGAAAAGCAGGTGACAGCAAGAATTTCTAGCTTTTTTTCTGTTTCTCTAGAAAATGCTATCGATAGAATAAAAAACCACTACCCTTTCTGAGCTGAAAACAATTTTATTTGTTAGCACTGCTTTATTTGCTTTCATTAAAAAGTTCAAGAAACATGTTAATTTGTGTCAATTTCCGTGTTAGTGGGGAGCTCATTGTGAAGCTTGATTGTCACTAATCTTCACAGCTATGGTGACTGCAAATATTTAATGTCATAATTTTTATTGATGTATATTTTTGTATATAGGAAGATGCTAACAGTATGCATGCTGCAAAATGTATTTCAACTCCTATTGTAGTTTTAATGTATTCTATTAAATAGTACTAGTAGATACAGAGCTGAATGTGAGCAGAAAAGTATTGAGTGTTTTAGCAGATGGTTGCTTAAAAGGAAGATGTCTCAACACTTTAATTTAGAAACCTGAAAATAAATGAGTTTGCATTATCTCTGCATGAGATGGACATCCCTGCATCCTTTATATAGAATTAATTTCTTAAGCTGAATTTTTTCATTATATTGGTGCACTTGGATTTATTTGGACTTTGAGTTCAAGATATTTTCATTCTTATTCTGAAAACTTGGGGGGTTTTATGATGAATGGCAATATTAATGTTATATTAATGGAACCTTCTATATATAAGGTGGGAAAGGACCAAGTTTTCTTATTATGTCTAATATGTTCAGAGACAGCAAAAGTAACAGAAGACAACTGCCTTCTCCTAAGCAACATGTTTGTCCCCATCCTATTTGAATCTTGTTTTGATGTAAGCTCTGCCAGAAGTGTTTTGGCAACTAAATCTCATAGAAAATGCATCACGGGGCTACAGCAATCCTTGATTCCAGTGAAGGAGAAGAGAGAAGTTTGTATCTCTGAAAATGGGCAAGGCTTCTCCAGATGCCAGATCATTCTCTAGAATAGAGAGGGAGTCAGGGTCCGGAGATCCTATTCTGTCTGAAGGAGCCTGTCCATCACAGTTAGGACAGAAGGGTGTACTTCAGCCTCTTCGAAACTTTAGCGTTCTAGCACACTGGCTTATGCTGTACTTTTAGAAATAAGGCACAGGAGCTGTGGATAGCTGGGCATTTGGAACTCTTAGCAACAGAGTTCCAGCAGAAAAAGTGCCCAGCCCATATCTTGGGAAACATTTTCTTAGATTATCTCAATTGAAACACTGGCTTTACCCACAATTACACATGCATAGTGAATTTCAAGTTAGTAGGAAGAAGAATCTATTTTACAGCACTTAGTTTGTCTGCTTACTGCTTTTTTTATGGGAACATAATCTAAATTTTGGGGAAAGTATGCACAAAACTGTCATACTGCCAAAAACTTGGGAGATTTTTAAAATGCTGATAAGTTTAGTTAATTCTTCGCAGCTTTTAGTTGCCTGGCATTTTTCCAGTGTTTCCCATTCTATCTGCCTCTGGTCAGGGGCAGGAGCTATACTTCATTTTATTTTCATGCTGTTAAGTACAGTGAAGTCTGTGTGTGTGATTACAGATCAGTTCTCATTATTGTGATAATATGCACAATACAGAAATCAGTTAGTGGTAATCAATTACTGAACATTGTCAAGATCCATTGATATAGCAAATGGCTGTTTGTTAATAGTTGATGAAGTCTGCAGCACTCTGAAATTTTGTCTTGGACTTTTGATGAATGCAGGTGCTTACACTGCTCCTTCCCTGATACCAACACCGTTTAGTTACTGTGAACATCGTCTGAATTTTACAGTATTTCTGCTTGGTTCTGTCGACAAGGAACAAGATATATCTGCTTGAGAGGATTGTCTGTTAATGTAATAACGACAGTTTTTGCTGTAAAAATTACTTTCTGTAGAATTGCATTTACTTTGTTCACACTCAAAATTACAACTGTTTCTTAAAACTTTCTGCTGCAGCGTTTTACCAATGAGGATCATTTGGCTGTCCATAAACATAAACATGAGATGACACTGAAATTTGGTCCGGCTCGTAATGATAGTGTCATTGTGGCTGGTTAGTATATACTTTTATGACTAGTTTATTCACTTGTCTGCTGGAATGGGGCATACATTTTATGTATTTTCTGTACATTATGCATAGACAATGTTAAGAGAATATGAAACATCTTCACTGTAGCAGTCTGCAGTGTGTGCTTAGACAGTGTTTTCATACATAATTAGCTTTTGTCAGAATTTGAAGCCTGTGTTATTCTCCATAAGCATCTTTGATTTGAATCTGATATATAATTAAATATTTTTTCAATTATTGGTACTTTAATAATTGATTAAATTATGTAGTAAGCATTCAGTAAGAACACACACTAACAAAGAGTATGCCTAACAGGATCTCTAACTTGATTAAACTAAAGTTTTTATTATTCATTGATACTACTTGTCTTTTAAATTTTAAAATATGTAGTGCTTTTTACATACTGTGGTTACGTTAGAAGAATGAGTCAGTAATTATTAGTCTTTAAATGGGATAGCAGAAGAAAGATAAAAATTTTTTTGTTTTAATTTTGGCTTAAATTCAAAATACTTTTACTGTATTTCTACTTCTGAATTCATGGTATACCCTTGGTCAGTTGTAACTAATTTTTTGTTTGTCCAGGATCAGAATCACTGTTGGTGATTACATTATAAATTTTGAAGCTCTTGGATGAAGATAGCACATGCCAATTATTCTATAGTTATAGTCAGACAGGGTTTTTTTCAGCCTAAATGAACTTCACAAAAGCTTTCAGACATTTTCCGTGGTGTTTCCCCCCCTCCATAAGTGGCTAATTTGTTAGGATGAGCAGACCAAAAAAAATGTTACTCTTAAACCAGCGGTTACACATTTTAAAATTCTGAATGTGATCCTTGGCAACTGTGCCATGAGAAAGGGGACCTGTCAAATAATAACTAACCAGGTGTCTGAGAAGGAAACCATGGCAGTGTCTGTCTCTTTGCAGCCACATTCCAGTGTATGAACTGTTGGTCGTAAATGCCAGCTTATGTTAGTAAAGTGCACGTAATACCACTTTGCAGTATTTTAAAGGCAAGGAACTTTGTGGGAAATGTGGTTAATTTCAACATGATAATAATAGTGAAATCGGGGGAATTTACACAGTACCAAAAACTTTATAGAAAGACTTTTTTGAAACTGCTTCATGCATTATCACCCAGTTACCAGAAGTGTTACGATTCCAGCTTGAGTCAGTACAACCTTGTGTACAATATCACACTTCCTTTTGGAAGTTCCACGCACTGGAAAGTAACCACTGTTGTTTTCACAATATGAGAAGAAAGCAGCAAACTGTCCATGAGCTGTGCACTTCTCTCTCTCTCTTTTTTTCAATTAAAGCCTTCATCTAGGCCTTAACTTTGTTTGAAAATAGAGCCTGCTTGCTCACTGGAGTGCTCTGGTCTGCTAGATCAGGCACAGCTGAGAACAGCTCCCTCTGGTTTCTGGCCACAGAAGAAAAGCTTCGCTGCCCCGCAACGCCGTAAGGGTCTTATGGTTTGCAGCCTTCCCTTGCCAGCCTCCAGCAGATGGAGTGTGCCTAGTGCTGCGCCTCCCTGCGCGGTGGAAGGGAGCCTGCCCGCGAGGCCTCGGGTTCTCCCTCGGTTTGCTTTTATTCTGAAAAATACTGACCACAAGTACGTTCATAATTACTATTTTAAAAATAAAATTGTGGTGTTTTTATATACTTCATTTCAGATCAGACACCAACACCAACTCGATTCTTGAAGAACTGTGAAGAAGTGGGCTTATTCAATGAATTAGCAAGTCCTTTTGAAAATGAGTTTAAAAAAGCTTCTGAAGATGACATTAAGAAAGTATGTTGAAAACCTTTTTCTTCTCAGAGCTTCTACTTTTTGCATATTAGAAAGTACATTTTAAAAAGTGACCTATGAATTTTTATATACTACCTTTAAACTATACCAATTATCATTTGCCAGCTGCTTACGTATGTTTTATGGAGAGAATACAAATCTAAGATCACTCCTCTGAAGATTAGTTTACCTGATTAATTTTCCATAGTGTGGACAATGGGACACGTTAACTTTGTCTTAATTTTTTCAAGTATTTAGTCTGTATCTGTTGAAGTTAATCATTAGCTTTGATTGAAATTTCATTAGGCCCTGAATAAGCAAAAAGGAAAGAGTTTTGCAGGAAGAAAAACACTTGCAAGAAACCCATGTTAAAAGAATAGTATGTGAACACTTTTACAATACCAATGTTATTCTGAGGATCAGTAGAGTTAAATACTAAATTTAAAGAAGTGTTAGTAATTTGGTTATAATTATATTCACAATGTCTTGAAATGGCTTTTGCCTAGAAATTACTGATCACTACCTAAACATCTACATTTTTTAATGTACAGATTGAATTAATATGAGAAAAATTTGGACTGTATCTGTTTAGCAACTTCATGTTTTCATGATGAACTTCCCATACATTTAAATGTGGTTTCTTCTTTTTATTTTAGTACTTCCCAGTCATAACTGTTAGGGGTTCAAACAAATAAGCACTTCTGCAAATGAAAAATTTTGTTCAATATCCCCTTTGAATAAGTTTTCCTTTGGCTGATTAACTGGTTAACTTCCATAGACAATGATCAAAATATATTTTTATACTCAAATGTAAAGATTTAACACAAACTTAATTTCTTTATGGCATTTCAGATGTCCTAGCGGGTTTTGTATGTGTAGGAATATAAAACTTCCTTTTTCAATAATTATTTGCTGCACCAAGTTTGAAATTGTCCACAGTAGCTTTCTTAATTTTTGTGTTAGGATTTTATGCTTTGTGGCATGTGATACAATACTTTATAGAAAGAGAATGCCTTCTTTAACTGTAATGTTTTATGTAGCACTAAGTATAGCACAGCCCTCCCTCAGCTATAATTTTCTTGTGATTCTTGGGAAAGGAAAACTTTAGGAATGTATTTCATTCTCAAGAGGAAAATGCTTAGTCTGTCATAGTATTGAAAGACAAAGTGTTACTGAAGATAGGTGTTCAGGCACATGCTGGAAAAATAGCCTTGAGTGGTAATGCATCTGCATCAAGATCTACCAAACGTCAGCACCTCCCTGTTGTTAGAGGACTGATATTTCTCTTTGGTTGTTCACGTTTTGTTGCGTATTTTAGTTTTTAAGAGATTGAGTAATTTTGTTTTATGCTGGTGCTCTTAGATGCCTCTAGATCTGTCTCCTCTTGCAACACCAATTATAAGAAATAAAATTGAAGAACCTTCCGTTGTAGAGACAACTCATCAAGATAGTCCTTTACCTCATCCCGAGTCTACTACCAATGATGAAAAGGTCAGAGCCCTTCTTTTTTCTTTTTGAAATTCATTTTTCAAATTTTCTGATGGTCTGTAAGTTTATTGTACGTGATGATAGCTGCTACTTAGCTGGTTGAATGGAAAAGTGTTTTCATTTGCCATATTCCTGTCGATATGTGTTCAGTTCTAAAGTTAGCTTTGCTCACAGTAATTATTTCTCTCCCGCACTGGTCTTCCAGTAATGCTAGAAAGGAAATAAAATTTAATATTCATGCTGTGTTAGAAAAGGCTAAAGAGAGCTTCGCAGGTAAACAGAGCTTTGCAAGTTGCTTAGTTGTTGTCAGATAGCTAATTGCTTAATTATTGTAAAACCAGTTGCTTTCTTACAGTAATATTGATTTACTGTATTAGTTCTGGCCACCTACAATTCTGTAGAAAGAATTCTGTGTATTCATTGATAGCATTAGGAAGTTACTGCATTATATTTGCTTTTAGATACAGGATACTTGCAAATATGCATCTCTGAAAACAGTTCTTAAATAAAGTAACTGTCCTCTTCCATAAAATATTTTCCAATTCAGTGGGTTTTAGTTTCAAGAATAAAAGGGTTGGGGAGGTCCTTTCAATAAGTCTAATACCTTTGATTAGGCTTAAATTTCTTTCTTGTAAAAGTGAGATCACTTTGGCTTAATCTCATGACTGCAGATTCATTTCTATTTTTCTTGGGTTTTAGCAGAATATATTTACAAACTATTTTATTTCAGACAAAATTTATACTTCATTAGTGCAATGCTTTGACTGATTAGTATCTTCTATCAGACTAGTTTTGTTTTCAGGTGGTAATAATGCCAGTTTCCTTTGGATCCACACCCCTTGTATCTGAAGCTGAGGTTATTGCCACGTTGTTACAGTTACACGCAGGTGCATTTTTCAGGGTAGCATACCACGAGTTAGTGTAACAAGTAGAGGAAGCTGAAACCACTTTGTTTTCATCTGTATAAACACACCTGTCAGTAAATGTGTTACTCTCTTAATAGTTGGGGATTGTTTATGGTGTTTCAAACAAACCACAAATGCTGTGAATGGTGTACATGTGAGGTTGTACTGACATGCCAGTGACTTCTGGGTGAGGGGGGTGTTCAGAAAGTGTTGGTGGTCAGGTTGAATGGGGCTCTGAGCAGCCTGATCTTGTGAAGTGTGTCCCTGCCCATGGCAGAAAGGCTGAAGTAGATGATCTTGACAGGTCGCTTCAAACCCAAACTACTCTGTGGTTCTGTGGAAGCCCTTCAAGGGGTCTGTCCATTCTTGTATCAAGTGTGTGTATAATTCTGTAGTCTTTGCTTGCATATAGCAGCTGCTGTGGGTTTGGATGCTGTCTGAACTATACAGCATATTCATGGTAGCGTGTGTGCCCACGCTAATGGCCACGTACAGCTTCCTCTGGTGTTCTGAGCTTATAATAGTTGCGAGTTCAACAGGGATGACTGAGTACAGTCTTATGTATCATCAACTGCAGTAACTACTGTTAAAAGAATAACTTGGAAAAATCCTGCCTGAAGGTAAATCTGAGGTCTGACAATATCAAGGCCTTCCTGAGAAGTAACACGTTGGTTACAATAAGGTTTTCAGAAACGGCAAACGCAGATACTGCGTTCTAGTTGATAACGTACTTTGCCTCATTGCTAAGCTAAGAACTATAGTCAATTCTGTTTACTGTTTACTTGCAACTAAGGAAATTTAATTTCTTTGCTCAGGACACATGTATTTTGCAGAACTATGAATGCAATGCTCCAAGTGCTTCTAACTTAGTAGCACTCTAGTTAAGAGAAGTGTGTGGGTAAGGGATGAAGGCTCAAAAAATACTTTCTTTTTTCTTTATACTGAACTATAAAACTCTCGTGTCTCTTGTTTAAATCCGGAACACTGGGCTGAAACTGAACTGTGCATAAGGACACCAGAAACTTTCCTTATTCAGAGTGTGGGTACACATGACTGTCAGTGTCGTGGGTTTCTTGGCAAAAATTTTTAATACATGATAAAAACTGAATTATAAGTAATAATAGCCTTAGCATAAATTGAGCCAGGGTTTGTCATAAAACTAAAATCACTGTCATTGGAACAATTTCACTTTGATGGTTTAAATGATTCATCCAAAGAGATTTTTTTTTAATGTTGTAGAACTGATTCTACTTGCGTAATGTTATAGAAATTCTGATTTGTTCTATCAAACTGTGTTCATTTAACAGTTTGGATTAATGGTCTATCACTGTATTTTACAAACTGATTAGTCTTTCTTTTTCCTCAGGAAGTGTCACTGCAGCAGACTGCACAGCCTACATCAACAATAGTTCGTCCAGCATCACTACAGGTTCCTAATGTGCTACTTACGAGTTCGGACTCGAGTGTTATTATTCAGCAGGCAATACCATCACCAACGTCTAGTACTGTTATTACCCAGGCTCCATCCTCTAACAGACCAATAGTGTAAGTTTCATAGATCTTAGTAAATATTTTCTTACAGAATTGGAAAATACTTTGTCTTGTTTACTCTAAGTTATTTTTCTGCAGTTAATGTACACATCTGGGATGCTTTGGTGTAATATGGTGCTTTACTACATATGAGCCCTACAACTTTCACTACATGTGAAATATAATTCCATGTTCTCCACATCACTAAGGTCATATTTTTATCTCCAAATAAATATTACATTGCAACTGTAAACAAACAAACCAATTTAAAATAATGTGTAAACTTGTTCTCTTCTCTGGATAAGTTTTCTTTTATATAGTTCATTCCTTTTTCAGTCCAGTTCCAGGTCCTTTTCCTCTGCTGTTACATCTTCCTAATGGACAAACCATGCCTGTTGCTATTCCTGCATCTATCACAAATTCTAATGTGCATGTCCCTGCCGCAGTTCCAGTAAGTAAGCATGATGCTATATTAATTTGAAAGTGGAGCAGATTTGCATAAGTGCAGCATAGAACTTAGTTTTAAGCAGCTTGATAGCTGTTTTGGCTTCAGAGGTTAGTGCTGTCGTATGCTCTCTATTATGATAACATACTCAGGTTTTCTTCATTTTTATACTTTATCTGGTCAGCTTGTTAGACCTGTCACCATGGTGCCTAGTATCCCAGGAATCCCAGGGCCTTCCTCCCCACAGCCAGTGCAGTCTGAGGCTAAATTGGTAAGTGAAAAACTCCATTATTCCTCAAGAAGAATAACTTGAGAAATTAATTAAATTCTATTGCTTTTTAAAACAGCTCTAGTTTTCCTTTGTTAGTCTAAATTCTGCAAGTACAAATTAAGTAAAAACAGAAAATTAACAGCTGCATTTATTTAAGTTATTTCAAATTCCAGCCTATGTTAGTTCTGTTGTTAATGGTCATTTTGATCTTATTTTCAATCATTCTTTTAAATGAACTAGATTTTTAACTAAACTTTTTGCTCCTTGTATGTGATGACAGGAAATGTTAGTTGGAAGAAAGACAAGATTAGTAGCCTGTTAATGGTGAACATCACCTTCAGAGAAGCAGAATATGCTTTCTCCCAAAGAATACAATTTTTCTTAAACTAGGAAAAGAAAAAGGCATTTTATCAATATTTTCAGGATCTCAACTGATTACAGTCCATTTGGTGAGAGTTTTGTGATTAGATGTGTATTACTGACATAGGATGTTGTTTTCTGTGACAGTTGTTTCTGTTGTGTTGAGGCAGGTTTGGGGATTATTTGGGAAAATCATGAGTAAAATAAGCAGAAGAAAGTGGTGGTTTCGTTTTTTTTCTCTAATACTAGCAATCCAATTGTGGTAGTTTTAAATAAATCAATTTCTAGAAAAATTTTCTGCAGTATTAGGTAGTTGCTTCTGTGCTGTCTTGTTTGTTCCAACTGTTCTAGAGCAATAGAAAATCTATTATTAAACAGTAATTATCCCATTTATACATTTACAAGATGCTTCTGTCAACAGTATCTGTCTTGTGAAGTAGCATTCCTCTTCTGACACTTAGTGCTAAAAAAGAATCGGGAACACCTCCTAGATAAAGTACATTTTTGTACATCAATACGGATAAGTGGGAGGATACCTGTAACACCCTTGGATAACTCATTTCTCTCAGCCTAAACCTGTGGACTTTATTTCCTTATCCATCTTCTCTCCTCAAATCACAATATGAGCAACAGTGAGTCTAGAAACAGTAATTATTCTGCTGTCTGGATTGATGGGATTTCAGCATAGTGGGTGTGCTGGACCACATTCGCCAAGTGCCGAAACTATTGCAGAGAACTGGTCACCAGTGCGCTGACTTTCCCAGTGCTCCCAGGTCTTCCTTCCATTTTCCTCCTCTGTTGAACACAACTTGTTTAAAATAGCGTAGGGAGGGACAGAAAGGAAGGACGCCCGTTTCTGTGCATCCTTGTCCCCCTAGGAATGGGAAAAGGAATCTTTTAATACCTGAGGAAATAACTAAATGTAGTCAGCTCTGATGGAATTAATTTTTCTGAAATCTAGGAGAGAAGAATGTCAGAAAGCAGGAGATGAGGGTTTAAGCGTATTGGTGAATGATGTGCTCTTACGAAGCCTTAAAGGAGGGAAGGAAATACATGCATGCGGTGAAAACTTTGATCTCATTTTGGAAGAAGCAATCACTCAGATGCAAAGAAAAACAAAGATCATTAGACTTAAAATTTAACAGTCTCATTAGTCTTCTCGTTAGAATTTAGCTAATATATGCACTTCTGATTATCTTTTTTTAAATGAGATTGTAAAAAGGGAATTTGCAGTGTTTCTTTTCCTTTGTTGTCTCATAATATAAAGCATGAGCAGAATTCAAGAATATGAGAATTATGTATATTTCGTATGCTCGTTTACTTTTATGTAATGCCTATTCACAAAACTAAAACACTGAATTTCTTCCCACTCTTAAAGTAAAATCAGTTTAATGGGAAATTTCATGTTTATATAGAAAAGCTTCCAACAGGAAGACTAACTCACTGTGCCATGTGATGCATTGTTGGCAGATACGTGATGGTTTATTAGCTGTAAAGTTCCATTTAATTTTAAAAATTTAAGTCTTTGTGATGCCAAATCCTTTTTAGCTTGAAAATAATTTTGCTTAATACATACTAAATTCTGCAAAGGTATGATAATCAGGTTTATTTTTTACTTTTGTTCCTGGTTAAGCTAACGGGAGACTTAATAATTAGATTTACAGACCCTTGCTTGTTTTTTTATGTCATTAATAGTTCACGTTTAAAGTTGAAATGTAAGCTATTATAGAGAACAGTAACGTTTTCTGACGAAACAGCGTGTTTCGTCACAGTGTTTTTCATCTGTTAAGTGTACTGCAATTTGTGGATTTATTGGTATGTTTAAATTAGCAGAACACTGGGAACACTGTGTGTCCTTTTGCCTGCCATAGCCACATTCTGCTTACCGTTGGGGTGAAGTCTGTTCAGCTAGTATTCTTAGTGATTTTTGGACAGAAAACTGAATGAAGGGATGAAGCTGTGATGTTCCCTTCTCAACAGTCAAGGTCCATGAGGCAGCAATTTTGTAGATATGTAGAATTTTCTTGACTGTTTTATCTTTTTGTTATTTATTATTTGGAGAATTTGTTGCTGTTCTTTATAAACAGATGTTGCAGTCTCATGGATTTTTTTTTTTCATATTGCATTATAAAATGTAGAAATGGAATATGTGGCAAATATAAAAACATGCTTGAATGTTTCCTAACATCACAGCTATTCTCCAGATATTAAAGCAAGTTTGGTAGTATATGGGATGCAGAATTGGGAAAGTTAGCGTGTGTTTTCTGTAACTCCAAAGGGTTTTGTCGTTTATGCTTTTGGCCACCATTGTTTGAATCTATCTCTTGTTCAAAAGCCATACTTTCCTGATAGGGTATTCTGCATTTTCTACTGTCATATGTGTGACAATACTATTCCAGGCACTCTTAATTGACACAGACCTGCCTATGTCAGAGACTGAGTAAAACTCTCCAACTGTTTGCAGTAACTTTGTCACTTTAAGATGCAGTATCCCTAAATTGCTGAGTTGCTACCAAATATAGTTCTGTCCTGTGCAGAAGGCGCAACTCCTTAAGTTTTGGGTTAAATACTCAGCACAAATCAAGGCAGGAACTAGGCACTTCCCTTCGTTAGTGCCTTTCTTTACAGAGGCTATTTCTGCAGTTCATTTCTTCCATGACATTTCAAAGAACTAACGTTTTAGAATTTTGTAATAAGAAAAGCACTCTCTGCTCTGATTTCATTCCTCATCTCAATCATTCATTTCTTACCTGTTTACAAAAGGCTGCTGTTGTGTAGATGTCCATTTTTTCAAAGTGAAGGTGATAAAAATCAAATTAGGAAATAATGGCAATATAATCTCTAATGCTGTGGAGTTCAGTCATTTAAATATGGATTTGGGGAACTTAATTTGTATATTTTCAGTAATGTGAAAACAACACACTTCTATTTCGATGAGTAAATGTTGTTTCCTTATGACTTCTGTATAATAGAGCATAGGTACATAGTGTCGTATATTTCCTTATATAAAATAATGAATGAACTTCAGTGAAACAAAGTGACATTTTGATTTCCAAAAGCTAAAGCTTAAAATAACTGGCAGAAGACATCTTTGGTAATGGGCATAGAATGCCTTCCTCTAGCACTTGAAATTTTTCTTCAGCTATCCTAGAAGTCTTGAAACCTTTTGAAGATAAGGGAACTAAAATACTAACTTTTTTTTTTCCACGACTATGGGTAGCTTTTGGAGACTTTTTTTTTTCAGTTTGTAAATGAGCTGTATTTGAAAGTGGGTTTAGACTAGTGTCCAAGCTTATTGCATAATAACCACAACTGTGCGTTTATTTCTATATTTGAGAAAGTTTTCAGCCGAAAGTGTCAAACTCCCTCAGCATGGCAGTTCTGTAACTCACGTGAAGCAAGCCACTGAGGTGTCACTTCTAGAACTCTTGTCACTTTTGCTGAAATGTGCTTTTCTCTGGTTGCCATTAAAGTTGCCTGACACTAAATGATCATGTGAATTCCACAGAGGGACAGTTGTGCGTGAGAACAGGCTCACCGAGTGAAATAGCAGATAGAAAAATACATACCAACTGCAAGGAATAATGAAAAAATGTTGCAGACAGAAAAAGAAAGAAAAACACAGAGTCCATGAGAGACAAAAATTTAAAACTTGGCGATGCAATGAGCCAAATCCTTATGACTGGTGACACTATTGCAAGAGGCTGTCAATTGAAGTAGCTGAAATTCAGTGGAAGAGTGGGTTAAGCACAATCATATATACCTGCTTCAGCATGGAAACAGATACAGTGCTATATGTGTTTCAGTGCTATGGGATAATTACGTGAAATTAGATTGCGTTTTAATTTTGTCCAATATTGAGGTTATTGTAGGCATAGCTCAGTTCACACCTGTGAAAAACACTGTTGCTATAGTTTTGAACATTATTGGATCCTTTTTCTCCTATTGCTTGTAGAACTGAAGTATGACTAGAGATTTGAACACAAGCTGCCTTTTACTCCTGTCCATTTGAAAATGTCCTTGTATCTTGTACTGAGAATGACCCTCAGTAGGAGCGAAAATGCATTTCAGATTTCTGTGCCACACTTAATATGAATTGTAAGTTTTTCTGACACGACTCCATATTTGCTGTTATGCTAAAGAAACTAACTTCCACATACTTAAGTAAAATCAGATTAATTAGTCAGTTTTGTGGTGTTTTAGGGAATAGATGCAATAGCTGTGTTTAAAAAAAAAAAAAAAAAAAAAAACCCACCCAAAAAAACCCACCAACCCCCCAAAAAAACCCAAACCCAGAAATAGTTCCTCACTAAGCTAAGGATGCATGGTTCTAAATATTATAGCACTGCTTCTGATCTCTCTGTGAGAAGATCTGTAATTATATGCTTTCTCTATATGAAATGTGAGTCATGAGCTACTCCTAGTTGTAAAACATCCTCTTTTTGAGTGCACACCTTGTGGATGGAAACTCAGTGTTCACATCCTTCTGCGTGGATTGCAGAATTTTTTGAAGGACTTAACATTCCACGCTAAAGCAATTTTTTCCTTCTGTCTCTTCCTTCCCATATAACACATTTTGTCACAGGCATTTTGCAGGCAGTGGGCAACCAGTAGGCTTTCTGCAGGAGGCTTCTTCCGAGAAGTGACAGAGGGCAGCTTGGCAACAGTTCAGAAACCGACATTAGCTTGCTGGAGCCCGGCATGGGACCTTGTGTTCAGCAGAATTCTTCTGACCTGTCTTTCTGCATGCTGAGCTAATCAGCAAACACCTAATGAGCCTACTCTAAAGAAACAGACCCTCTCACAACCTACTTCATTTTCATATGTTCTCTGGGGGTGGAGAGACAAGACTTCATAAGGACTGATGATGCTGCAAAGACCACAATAATGATAATTAACTTGCTGAATTTAGAAGATTATGCTGTTAATTAGTTGCAAAATAAAGATAAGTAATAGAGCAGCAGATGGTAGGATAACACCCAGGAGAAGGAGGGTTATTACTCTGATGAGCTTTTGTGGCAGATATGAAATATGGATCTGAGTTTTTCACAAATTGTTTCTGGAGAATATTATCTTGTTTCTGTGAGCTCTTGATGGAATGATCTAGTCCTACCAAATTTTGACAGATGCAATGAGGATTTGTCTTCAAGGATATACATGAACAACAAAATCTTGCTAATAAAGACTTCAAAATCTATTAAGCTATCCAAAAATACCAATTTTCCTTTGCCTCTAATAACCAGATAAAATCAAACAAACCTTGGTTCTCATCAGGTTTCCACACATAGTACTTATATACATTTATTCTCATATTTGTTTCAAGATACTTTATTTTTAAAACTGAGATTTTCATTGTATTTGATGTAACTATCCTGCTACTCACAGGAAGCAGGACATACCTATTTTACTCCAGCATTACCTTCTAAAATATATAAACCTTTTAAATGCTTGAGCTGGATATCTCCATGTGAAAATCTGTGGGTATTCCTCATATTTTCACAATATTTCTGCATTTGTGGATAATTTTAATCTATTTGAATTTCAACTTTTAAACTCTAATATAAAACTAAAACCAGTTATTTGCTATTTCTGTTTCCATAGTACCTTATATTTAACAACGTAATTTTCAAAAGGAGATTGTTTACTTATAAATTTACAAGATTATAATGTTTGTTAGCATTGCAGTGGGGAAGGTTTGGTCCTTTAACTGTTTGCACGTTCATTGTGCCTGATGATAGATCTTTTATCATGTAGATAAATTGTGCCATTTCCTTCACTTTCTACTGCTATTTTCAAATTCAGTGTAAAATATACAAATTTAATAGCATGAACTTCCTTTTTTTTCAGGTTAACTTTGAAATATTTCTTTAAACAGAAATGCAGATGTAGAAAGAATGGAGCTAGACAGTAATAACAGGTACTTGCCTTATGTGCACGTTAGAAACCTGAAACAAACCCTAATTAGTTTTGTTTCATCTCCCCAGTCTTCTGAACTTGGGCTCCCTTTTACTAAGGAAATTGATGTGCCTGTGAAACTTCTTATTTAAGTCACTGCCTTTAAACAAGCACTACAAAGCGTTCCAGGAGTTCATAAACTTCATTGTTTTGGGGTATTTTTGTGGAGGATGCTTAGAGGAAGGTTTGCTCACGCAGTCACAATCGGCGAAGATCAGACACTCTGGGCACACACATACTACCTGTATAAACGTGTCTGCTCCACTGCTGTGAAAATCACGTTAGCTTGTTATCACTGAACTTACGTATTCAGACATTGAGTTGGATGAAATCATTTTTCCTCTCATGGCGGTGGAAGAGGAATATATATATATATATGGCAAGTCGGTATGTCTTGGTTGAGTAATTTTTGAGACAGTAATTTCTAAAAACCTAGTATGATGGCATGAAATAAGAGAGAGGATACCCTTTGAAACCTCAGCAGAAGTGAAAACATAAGCACTGTAACTCGTTTGCTACAACTAATTTGTTCTGTTACTGCTGTCTTGATTTTGACTGCTGAAAGTTTGCCATATTCTGCTAAACAGCAAGTTACAATACAAAAAAATACTTCTGAAGTAATTCAGATATGAATTGAAAATACATAGTGAAAAATCAGATGTTAGTAACTTATGGAAAGGATATTGGATAAAATCGTCACGTTAGCCTTAAATACTTGCTACTTTCTTTAAACAATAAAAATGTGATTTGGAAATGATGTGTTTCCCTGGTAGGTCTGGTGGTTGCTTACAAAAATTTACCATTTAATGACCAGGGTTAGTTAGAATTTTAAAGAGGGGTAGAGAAGAAACAAAAAATCATCTTAACCTTTCGATTGCTGTAATTATAGCTTAGAGTTTGGTTTCAGTAATTTTAGTCAGACAATTAGAACACATTTAGGCCTTTCTGTGCTTGTTTAGCTGGAAACAGGGACCGACTTTTTTTGTGAGCTTGTTTTTCCAAGGTGAATTACGAAGATACAAGTTGATTCTAGAGTTTGGTTTAACACTGTAAAGCAAGCGTTAGAGCAACTGCCTGAGGATTTAGGATTTTAAGTGTATGTATACGAGCAATTATGGGTATGTTATCCTAAAGTTCTGCTCTAATGCTTGCAGCTATCACGACTTTTTGTTGTTAGGGCTGAGCACTGGGGCAAGTGCTGTAGATTTGTTTTGTGTACTTTTCTGAAAGCATCTTCCTCATTCTGGGAAACTTTCAAAGTCGATACAAAAATGAGGTGGGGAACGGAATTTCATTCACACAGAATTTTCACATACACTTGAACCGTCCCTGTCTGGGGTAGTATTTGCTGTTAACTCAGTCTAGAGCAGTGAGGAGCCTGCTCCAGCATGGGCTTCCCATGGGGTCACAGCCTCCTTTGGGCATCCCCCTGCTCCAATGTGGGGTCCTGCCCGGGCTCCAGGTGAGTCTCTGCTCCACTGTTAGCTCCATGGCTGCAGGGGCACAGCCGGCCTCACCGTGGGCTGCCGGGGAATCTCTGCTCTGGCACCTGGGGCACCTCCTCCTCTCCTTCTCTACTGACCTGGGGGTCTGCAGAGTTCTGTCTCTCCACTGAAATTTCTCTTCCCACCCTCTTAAATATATTATCCTAGAGGCGCTACCACTGTTGCTGGTGGCAACTCCATCTTGGAGCTGGCTGGCATTGTCTTTGTCAGGTTTAGGGGAAGCTTCTAGCAGCTTCTCACAGAAGCTACCCCTGTAACCTGCCTGCTACCAAAACTTTACCGTGTAAATGCAATGCATGCAGTCACTACAGAAGAGACTTACTCTGTCCAAATATTCCATAAGAAGTCAGCAGAGGAATGCTGAAGTTTCTTGGATCTTTCTGTAGTTCTCAAATGGGAATGGTTGGGTGTTACAGCCAGATATATGGATTTGATAATTGATATAAGTTGCCATATTACAGACCTGAAGGGTTTTGCAGTTCTGGCTGGGGTAATCTGCAGTCTGTTTTTCTAATTGTAAAATAGGATCCAGGAAGCCTATCATCATGCAAGGTAGGAGAAAGCTGTCCCTATATTCCATTGACTTAATTATTGAGAGACATTAGATACTGCAATTTACAGAAAATATCTGCATGCATAGGTGCAAAGTCATCTACTTATTTTGAGCTGGCCAAATGCGGCCTACCTCCAGCATTTTTAAGACATTCTATTAATATTAGTACTTTGGCAATATTTTGTTCGTATTTCAAAATATGATGGTACAGGTTATCAGAGTTTTCATAAAATGTTATTTATGAGGGCATTAATCTTTCCTTAACCTTGTATTAGATTCTTTAAAAACCCAGTGGTCAGTAGAAAACCACTTTTTAATGCCATTTGTCTAGTGAGGTAAATTCTGAAGTAACACAGAAAATTTCATGATAAATTAGACAATATACATTGAATTTTGTGCATTACTGAGATGTTTCAGCAAAGACCTTGGCTTTTATACAGTAATTATTCAGAGGATTGTAGAGGTGAGTATTTACAAAGATCATGAAAAAGTGCGGTTATAACAAACTACTCAAAAATGGATAGAGAACACCAGATTTTTTTAAAATGGAAAGAAGTTTGTGTTTTGGGGTTTTTATATTTTCCTTCGTGTGTTTGGGTGGTTTTTTTTTTTCCTTTCTAATCTTTGCCTTTTGTAATACCAGCCTCAACAACTCTGTGTTCATGGCCTTCCAGTTATCTTTTCATGGGCACAGTTCATCTTGAAGGAAGCTTTCTGTTTACCTCTCCATACAGCTTACCATCCTTCTCTTTGAGATCCTATGTGAAGCCTCAGTGCTATTGTCATGCTTGCAAGAAATAGTCAGCTATTAGTAGGTATATGTCTAGATAGATGCCTCTGGAAAGAAACAACTGTTGTAGAGTTGGAGCGCCTGTTTCCAAAATAGACTAATTACTAGCATAAATGATTGATGAACTCCTCAGGTAAGCATAATAGAATATTTCCTTTTTTCTTTTTTTTTCCCCTGCTTGCAGAGATTGAAAGCAGCGTTGACCCAGCAGCACCCTCAGGTAACAAATGGAGATACTGCCAAGGGACATCCAAGTGGGTTGGCTAGGACTCAGTCAGAGGAACCACGACCACAGTCGCTACAACAACCTGCAACTTCAACAACTGAAACACCGGTATGTTAACAGAGTGGACATGTGCTGCCTGTCACCTACACTGTTATGCAAAAAAATAATTTTTCTTTACTCTTGATTTGTAAAACAGAGGTTAACCTGAGCTACAGACTCCTTGGAGTCTGTGTTTATAGTTCTTGCATATTCTTAAATGCTTCTAAAATGTATTATCCAAGACGATTTTAAAATAGGTATTACCTGTATGCTCAAATCTAGAACTGAGTCCACCTCATTACTGGAGTGCATTAACGGGAAGTTTTGTGGTGACTGAAAATTGTACAGCTGGTTAGTATATATTTGGAAAAAGAAAAATAGTTGCTTTTATTATTTATCTACGTTGCATGTTTAATATTTTAGATCATAAGCACTTATGAATTTTCACTGCATCAGGTATTATACTTAACATTAATTGCTTGAAGGATCTCTACTGGGCTGCCACAAGAAGAGTTTCAGCTGTGTGATTTGAGGTGCTGAGAGATATGGTTTAGTGGCGGACAGATACGGTTGGACTGGATGATCTCTAAGGTCTTTTCCAACCCAGTGATTCTATGATTAAGTGTAATCCCAAGTACTGACAGTGGGCCTCTAAGTTTTGGAATGGTGTGCTGTCCCTTTGGGATGATAGGTGACAACAGGGCAATAAAGGACAAGAACTCTCGAGTCAGACTGGGAGTTTTGCTGGAGTAGAGAGATACATCTATAGGTGAATCCTGGAGGATTGCTGCTGTTCTATTTAAGAAAAAAAAAAAAAAACAAACCCCAAGTTGTTGGAATGTTTTCAGAATGCTTTTAAAAATCTCTAACAGTATTTTCAGCATTCATAGCATTTTTATTAAAGCTACATACTTGGCCCAGAACCAGAAGGACCTGCATCTGCAGTGAAAGGACTCAGATTCTTCGACTGGCCAGTGAAATCAAATAACATATCAAAACAACTGTTTTGAGCAAAGAGAGGAAAATAAGTTACCCGCTGTAAAATGATCATCTTAAGGCTGCTGTTCTCCTGTACTACCTTAAGTTTTTTGAAAGTATATTTTCATACTACCACATGGCAGAATTTTCAAGATGAAAATCTTGCTGTTTGGTTATTTTGTGGTTACTTTATAATAAGATTAAAAATAAAAGCAAATGTTTAATTCCTAAAAGTCTGATTTGAGTTCCCAGGTTGTTTATTATTAGCTCTCTAGAATTTATGCCAAATCAATATGCTATCTGATACATGTTTGCAGTTTTTAATTTAAGACTAAAACATTCTTACTGTGCTAGACTGAATGTGCAGGTGCACCTGTAAATGTCATCTAGTCAGTTACATTCTGTATGTCCCATCACTTGGAAGGATTTTAAGATCCATTATGATGTTACCATAATTCATTAGATGCTTGCCTGGGTGCTGTATACTGCTATGGGAGAGGTGTGATGTATAATTTAAATTACTGAAATATTCTGATTCTGTCACAGGCTGTGGGTGGATATAACGGGAGTTGGTATGCAGTGGTGGGGAACACACCAGCAAGTAGGAAATTGCTGTCTGGAGATCGTGGGATCAATGAGTATCAACATTGACAGCATTTGTCAAATGGCTTCTGTATATTGGGCATAAACAATTGTGTAGTATTTCAGTTGTGACTAGGTTTCTGGGAAAGGTCAAAAGTAGAAAGCTTATTTCCTGCTAAATTTAACTTTTAAAAGCTGTTTTGGGTAAAAGAGCTTATTAAAGCTTACCTTTTGGAAGTACTTGTGTCATCTGAATCGGTAAAAGAACACCTGAGAGTCCATCTAAATAAGTATTGCTTCCAGACTTTATTCCGATGCCAGATGTAAATGTCATAAATTTAACTCTTTGATGTGAGTGACTTCTTCTAGTGCAATTTTAAGCAAAAGCCAGAGCCGTGATTAAAATGTTACATTAACACGTAACGCGGTAAGGAGGGCAAATGCGGTAAAAGTTTTTAAAACGTAGCTGTGGAGTTAAATGACATAGCTTTCCACAGAAGAAATGTGTATAACCTGAATGTATTTCAGAAATGTTCTGAATGCTCAAGATGTGACATGTATTTATGTTAGTGCTGTAGCTTAAGTCATGAATCTTATTAGACTGATAACTTCTTTAATAGTTTGTACTCTTTTCTTCAGGCATCACCAGCTCAGCCTACGCCACAAACACCAAATACAGGTGGTCGGCGAAGAAGAGCTGCCAATGAAGACCCTGACGAGAAAAGAAGAAAGTTCCTGGAGCGAAACCGAGCTGCTGCTTCCAGGTGCCGACAGAAACGGAAAGTCTGGGTGCAGTCACTGGAGAAAAAAGCTGAGGACCTGAGCTCCCTAAATGGCCAGTTACAGGTATACTTTTTATATCAAGTGAAAATGCATAAGGTTTGTCGGTTCATAGACGGTGATCCTGGATCAATGGAACTTAAATTTTGCATGAAATCTGAAACAGAAATGGTTTTGTAACTAACTGGTGGTTCAGGTCAATTGAAAGTTCTGCATTAATTGCATATATCAGTAAAATGAGAATATGAGAACATACTCTGATTTCAAGATGTGTAAACTTTAGGATCATGCCCTGTTGTGCTTTATTCCGTTTTAAATAACTTTCAGACTGCGATACTAAACCAGGATGACAAGATGTGTTGGAGTAAAGGCTTATTAGCAAACTAATAGCCTTACCTTAATAACATCTTGCTCTTATTTTTTGTGTCACAGCCTGAGTTATTTAAATAAGATTTGGTTTGATTTCCTTTGGTTCATTTTAACTTCACTTTTTTTCCTTTAAAGTGAATGTAGTGCTCGTGAAAGGTGCCAGATTGACATCACTGGAAACTGAAGGCCTCTTTTGTCCACAGAACAGGTACAGCACAGGCAGTGGCAGTGCAAATTTTCACCACACTGCCCTCCCAGAGTGCTTAAATCTTATAGTGAGGGAAGTATATTGTAAGATGGTAGTCTGGTGTGTGCTGTCAGTCCCTTTTCCACCTCATCTGAGGTCGTCGGTTGTTGGAAATTTGTCATGCACACACACTTTTACCCCTGTAAAACAATCCATGACCCTTTTGTTTAAACTACTATTAAATGTTCAAGCATACTTTATTAATGTTTTCCAGCAGCACGTGAGAATTGGCACAAAGTATTGTATCAGAATAGAAAGTCTAGAAGTGTTTTTTTGAGAATTGCAGAAAGGAAAAAATGTCATTTCTTAAGTGAAGCATTTATTTAGAAGCTGCAATGGAAAGTGTTCTGATATTTTAAAGTTTTGCTTCTTGTTCCTTCATCATAGCTGTTCACTGAGTCAAATTTACAGATCTTTTCCATCCAATTAAAACTCCTTGTTCATGCTGTTTGATAAAGAAAATGTCACAGCTTGACGAACAGGAAAGTAGAGCATATTGAGATTACATTTAATCGTATAATCTAAATTACAGTGTATCAGTCATCTTCATGTTCATGTCTTCAAAAATACTCAGCATCCTAGACTGTAAAATGTAAGGAATTCCTACCTAAGCACACACCACGAAACCCTTTCCTGTGTTCCAAAAATCATGACACTGTGGACCAGCATTAGCTAGATTTCTTGCAAATATATAGTCTTCTCATACTTGCTCACAGGCTTTATACATGTTCCTTTAATGCAGTCACAGTCTCTGTGACTGTCACTGTAGATCCATTAATTACAAAATGGTTTGTAGCACTGTAGAAATGCAAAGAACAAAAAAATGTATGTTTCCATTTTCTTAGTCGAAGTAATTTTTGGTATTATGTGAAATGCCTTTGACTTATACATACCTATTTTTTTATAAGTGAAACCGACGTAAGTACCATATACAAAAGATACCCAGATTTCCAAGAGTTAACTCAGTAATAGTGAATTCAAGAAAAAAGAATTTTCTTACGGTCTGCCAAAAGCAAAACCATTGACTGTGAAGAACAGAATGGCTTGTAAAGAAAATTGAATGTCAGGGAAATAATTAAACTGCTCTTTATATGAAAACATTAATCAATCCTCTATTTCCATAATAACTCTTCACTTGACAGGCTAACACAGCTGATCAGCATAGTGGGCAGTAATGACCCATGATTACTTACTTTATATTTAATAGTGAATTTAATAAATTTGGAGTTTTGCCTTAGTACAGTTTTATAGACTTAGTGTTAGGGTTTAGTAGCTCATATTTAGTTTAATATCTAAATGACCTGCTCAGCTGAACTTTCCGAGATGTCACATTTCCAGAAGCAGGTTAACACCAAAACTACTACATTGCACTGCTTCACGTAACAATTCTGACTTCTTTCAATGCAGTTAGTAGCTTTCTTGTCTGTGTCAAAGCTCCTAATGTCAATGGCAAGGCTTTTAAGACTGGAACTCTTAACAGTACATACAGATGTTGAAGAGGTTTTCTTGGCTGATGTATATTTTGTTCTGTAGCTTTCAACTTCTTGTAAATTAAGTTCTGCCTACTTTCTTCATTTAAAGCATTATCTTATACTAGTAATATGTTGACTTGTTTGTTGATCTTGAATTTTGTATACCACGTTTTGTTGCCTCTGTGTCTTGCACAACCCTGCAGGGCATGGTATGCCATATATCGTGCTGAGGAAGTGTTGGCAGTATGCCCCCAGTGGCCACTCGATTGTATTGCAGGATCAGATGCCAAAGTTCATTATATGGTCTGTAGTCGGACCCTGTTGCTTTAATAATTTTAGAGGACAAAGTATTAGTAGAAGAATGGCCTGTCTTCTTCACGAGGTCATTGTAGGATTTAAAGTATCTGCAGTCGGTGGCAGTCTGCACTAATGCTGCAGAAGCTGCTTTAGGAAAACTAAATTGTGAAAGAAATGCCCATAAGTAGAGGTCCTTATCCATACAGGGGTATCTTGTTGAAGTTTCCAAAATGAAACAGGAAGAGTGGTGATTGACTCAGCTACAGACAATCCCCTATCCCCATAAGTCACATCTACATGTCTCTGACAATAGTTTTGGTAAATACTACCTCACAGATACTGTCCCACACCTTGCCGAGCAAGGATTCATCTGGTCCCGCTATTACGTGTGCCTTTTGGATCCAGGGAGGATCCAAACAGAAGACCGTATTGTACACTACGTGGTATAGCTTCATAAGAATACAGACAGCAAAGTGTCGTTTGAAAAGTGGAGTGCAAGTAAAAATAGATAAGCTTTCCTCCAGTAACCTGCTTTCTAGTGTTAGCACATTTTGAAACGTAGGAACCTATAAAAATTCTTCTAGACAGCAAGTGAGGTATATTTCATGCTTATTTAAAGAAACGTTGATGCCTACACTTTACTTGGTACCTTAGTAATGAGAAGGACCGTTCCAGTGAGAAAACTCCTTCATGCCAACAGTTGAAGTGTTTATTCTGTGTGTTTCTTCTTGTTAGCCTGTTTTCAATATTTGGAATAAGATGGAAAGATTGTCACATACATGGTAAGAAAGCTACAGTGTGTAGGAGCTGGTTCTAACAACTCCCCCCTTATTACCAGTCAGAAATGGTCCTTACTGGTGACATGTAAATGGCAGCCATGGACTGCTGCTCTGTGATGTTCCACGCACCATGTGCCCAGCGGACATGCTCTGTTCTACTTGCAAGAATGATCTGCATTCATATAGCACTGTTGGCAAACAGCGTTCATGTTATTACCTGTGCTAGCAAAGTATTCTATGAGAATACCTCAACCTTTTTAATATAGGAATGCTATTGCTTTTTTTTTTTTAAGTCTGCTTTAAGGTAAGAGGATATATTTGCTTCTTCTATTTCTGTTAGCAAAATTTGTCGTATTTATAACACAGCTGACATTGATCTGTAGAATGCCTTTCCAAAAATTTTCACAAACATCAGTTTTGCTTACACTGCTAAGCAGCAACTTCATACCTGCGTGCTGTTTGCGTATGAAAATCTCCCCTAAGATGTGGGAGATGAAGGTAGATTTCTGAAAACCTCTCCCCAGTTTGATCGCTTCCTTTGCCGGCGTTCCTTTAAACTGACAGAAGCACGTCCCATTCGTGGACATTGCTGCTCCTGTAGGTTATCAAGGACCAGCTCAAAGCTACAGGAGCGCTTTCTGGTTTTCCCCCAGCTGTGTCAGTTCTGTACAGCTGCCTGCTTGGCATCCACATTTGTGGCTCCTCAGTACATACCATGGTGAGCTGAGGAGACTGAGAGCTGGAGGCGGTAGCAGTGCGATTCCTTGACAGCCCAAGATCTCAGGGTGTGTAATGCCAGCTGGTAGAGAATTTTTGGAGGGTTCATTGGGGTTTTTTTATTACAACCTTTTTGGTTTTTGCTTGTTTGCAATCACATTTTTCTTTCATTAGAAATATCCATGAAGTTGGGTTTTGGCTTTATTTCAGTTCTTGGTTTTGCTTTAAGTTTCTAAAAGGGGTATTTGACACAATAAAATGATTTAATAGAAAAGTAGTCCTTAATAGTTTAAGAGGATTTTGCAACTATAAAGTCCTGAAATTTTTCTTTTAAATGGAGAGAGAGAGAGAGAGGAGAATATAGAGGAGCTTTTCTTTTAAAAATGTGGTATTTTAGTTACAATATTTATAAATTATGTTACTTAGTGTAATTAAACCTAATAAATTTTGTTCTTATAAATGGGTTTCCTTATTTTGGGATCCTTTTGGTTATAATCATCTCTTCTCTGACTTCATTGCCTTATTTCTAGCTTGCAGGAAACTAATTGACTTTCTTGTGGGTTTTTTCCACATAAATTTATTTGCAATCCAATTTCCCTGTGTTGACGCACGTGAGAGCAAGTTAAAGAAAAACCAAACATAGGTGTTTACCAAACAGTTATGTCATATGTGTGGCACATTATGCTAATGTGCCAAGGTTCTTCAGTTTAAGGAACTTCAAGTCTCAATGGAAAGGATTTGTATTTAAAAGGAATTGACCCTCAAAAAGCATCTCTTGTGGCAAGATACGGGTATCGCAAAGCATTACAGATAAGTTGATTCTGTAGTTACATAAACATTTTTCTCCTATTTTAAGTGAAAATGGGTCTATCAAAATGCCACCCCGTTCCTAATTTGGACTGTCACATGTCATGCACTTATGTAGTGCTTCTCATCTGTAGATATCAAACTGCTTTACAGGGAAGGTAAGTCTGTGTATTCCACTTTACAAATGGGGAAATTGAAACACAGAGTAGTAAGATGACCTTGCTCAAGGTCACACAGTAGTGGAGAGGCACAGCCGGGAAATGAACCCAGTCCCTAGATTCTGCAAGTGCTGTCTCCTAGATTACATAAGCTGACATTTCAGGATTTTGTCATTATTGCCATTTATTTCTTCATACAACATGTTTATGTGCAGTTGCCGAAGAGAAAATTAATATAGAAATCAACTGACCTCGACTGAATTATTTTCCATTTACGTGAGATTTTCAAAGTCCAAGTTCAAATATAGTCACCAAAAATCATTCTGCATTGGCTGGATTTTTTTTAACCTTTTTCTTAATGTTGGCTGTGGCATCTGTTAAAATGTGGGTAGCTAAATGTAGGCTTCCTCTGATTGGGATTGGTCACGAAACCTTGCAGAAGAGCCTTACAGTGGCTGGATCATGTGAATGAGACTACATATAGACTCTCTATCTGCAAACTGAAAATTGTATGTTGTGTTTTCCAAAAAACCATTTCCTAGTTTAAGAAAATTATAAAATAAACTTAGCCAAATTTCAGCTAATATTTAAGTATTCTGAGACAAAATAAACTTACACATTTTTGCCATGTATACAAAATGGAAACTTCTTGTATTTGATCTACCTCTAAAGGAACAACTGAAAATCCTGTAAAACTTAATACTTACCTTCAAAATGTGTGTAGTTTGAGCCTGGTAAAGTACATAACTTTCTTCTCCTTTAGAATGAAGTCACCCTGCTGAGAAATGAAGTGGCACAGCTGAAACAGCTTCTTCTGGCTCATAAAGATTGCCCTGTAACCGCCATGCAGAAGAAATCTGGCTATCATAGTGAGTAATGTTCCATTACCTATAGCCTTAGGCTGCATCAGTGAAATACTGCCAAAGTGAACTGAATGAACATTAAAATTGAGGAGTGCAGTTCTAGTATTACATTAAAGATTTTTTAAAAAATTTCGAAGGTTGTTGTAAGACAAGAATGAATGTGATATTTAGAAATATATTTTTAAGCCCTTTCAGTTAAATGTTGCATAACGTTGAAGGTTTTATGTTGGTTTAATAAATGCATATGATAATTAGCATTTAAGGACTATCAGTTACTACACCTGCTTTGGAAAAACATGATTAAAATATTAAGAGCACATGATAAACCATTTTTTATACTTTACCTTAGCCTAGTATAGTGAAAGGTCCTTGTGGGTTTTTTCTTCATTGTAATGAGGTTTCAGTAGAGGTAATGAAACAGCTGTCCTCATTTACCATAACATCCAGGATCAATCAAGCCATTGAAATAATCAGATGCAGGTTCATGGCTGCTACTGTACAGCGTCTTCTAGGTTGTTTTGGTGTCCACATTAAGCTACAACGTTTCTATAAACAAGGTATTTTAAAAAGCCATTCTATTACTGAAGGGAATACTGAGAGTTTCAGTAGCATTTTATTTTTCTAATACATGTTTTTACTCAAAGGTGCTCATTTTATTTTCATCCTTCCAGCATTTTAAAGGTTAATTATGCTTTCCTGACTTGTAACTTCATTTTTGGATATGATACAGAGTGCCAGAACCAGCTGCTGCTGCTGTAGAATAAATGGCCAATTTTGTCCATTGTACACAAATTTGTTACAAATAACTGAGCTGGGAATGCATTAGGCAACATTCATAATATATAACCCACATCTTTCATTTTTATGATTTAGTGATATTTCAGGATATTTGTAAATGTGAAGATTGTTTCTGCCATATGTAGCCACTTCATTTTAATTTGCCAGTGTCAGTAATTCAGGAGAATAAAGGAACATTTCGTATTGCATGCAAACAGATCCTCAGGTGCTTGCGATAAAACTTAATGGCCACCATCTTTACTTGTAGTCATTGTAAGCAATTTCATCAGAATGGGCAATATTTTTTAATTTAAAAGATTCAGGAGATTTAGCAACTCTCTATTGCCATATATATTTAGAATACTGATTTTGTCAGTTTTGAGCTTATAAATCTTGGTCCTTTGATCTCCTGTCATTTTGACAAGATGGGAAAATAGCATCTTGGAGTAAATTGGAACAGTATAGAAATATGTTTCGGATTTATATTAACAATGATTGCTGCAGGGATGAGGCCATTATGGCTCCCATCTGACAGAACAACATAATTTTGTGCGGAAGGTACTGGGGATAACATTATGCATGCAAGGCTTTAAAAAAAAAAAACTACAAAAAATGTAGGTTTCTTGAATTTTTATGTTTTGAGAATGTGTGTCCCTGAATTGGCATGAAAAATATTTCAACTAAGTCTTAAACTGGCAAACTAATTACATGTTAAGGATTTCTTCATTGAAGAATTAACGAATGGCCTATTTCGAAATGCTTGTTTTCTGCCCTTGGAAAAGGACTGTAATGTTTCTGATTTACTAACGAGTGCAGAATGAATAAGAACTGACACATTAATCAGTGGAAAAAGCCTGTATCTTAGAAAAAAATAGTAAGCAAGGAGATTGGAAGCACAGCTCACCTAGTTTCTTGAGAGCTCTCTTAAGCCAAAGTTCAACATGAATGCTAGTTGTAAGGCCATCCCTCTGAAAGTATTTTGTCACATTGTCTCTGTGTGCATGTCATTAGGAAGCATGTTGGCTAAGTGACACGGCTACGGTACAGCTTGAGAGGAAAAAAACAGTTTCAGCTAATACATCCATGAAAATGTTGGTCATAGAGAGTGTTTTTAAATAAACATTTGATGTTCATCAAGTAATCTAAGTTGAACTTCTCCAAAAGCGTATTGAGTGGTTTGACTGTCTATGTGGAATTGAAGACACCAGATTACAGAGCTCCTGCAGTGCTGAATATTGTGCACTGCTGAGATGGTGCTAGCTTATAGCATGCAGACCATGTTTTAACAGTTAAGTCTCCAATTCAATGGGTTTCATGTATGATGTGCATAAATAGGCACAAATAATCTGTTGCTTTTCCATGTATCTTTAAGACCTTTTGTATTTCCCAGGCACATTTTTGTCCTGGGCCAAGTGAAAAAGCATGATAGTGCACATACCCCTTCCTTCTGCCTGCTTCGAGAGAGGGTGTTATCAGGACAGAGAAACCAGAAAAATGGTTATTGTGCTCTGGGGCAGCGAGGATGTTGTTCTCTTGCAATGTTTGAGGTTTCAGCCAGTTTAAACTTTCCTGTTTCCCAAAGAAGGATGATGTTGGTTCTGAATGCATCTTTGAAGAAGCGGGAGGGGGTGAAGTGCTGTGTGTACAAGAAATCTAAATGCTGTTCACTTATTTTTCATTTTAGCTCTTCTGTACCTGATAATTTCTATACTCCTATATATTCTTAATCTTTTTCTGGACTTGGAGCAGGAAAAAGGTGAAAACTTGTAAGAAAAAAAATGTGTTGTGAAAATCAGAGCTGTAAAAAGAAAAAAAAATAAGGTGTTTTAGGGAATTTTCATATTTTCCAAGTGGTCATTGTAATATTCAAGTATATTTATTCAAAACTGAATATGAAGGAAGATAGAGACTGCAATGTAGGTGATATTAATTGGGGTTTTTTTGTGGTTTTTCTCTAGTTAGTTTTAAATAAGTGGTAGGAGGTGAGTAAACCAGTTTCAGACCTTGCATAATTTGAACCACTCTGTTCCTATAGCCTGTTCTGGACAGGTGACAGTCCTTCTGTGACTGCAGGGGATATTCACGGAGGCAGCTCATGGGGAACAAGCATTTCTAGGCCTGAGTCCCCCTGTAGTCCATGGGTGGCCTGATGGGGATTACCATAAGGCTCCCTTTCTAGTGACTGTCAGGGGACCGAACGAGTTCTGGGTCACACGTCAGTGCTTTGCACGCTCACTCCCATTTTGGGTTTGGTGGGGTTCTTCATCTGAAGACTGAAATACCTCTTTCTCTGCTTACCTTACTGAAGGCTATTGGTAAGCAATGCTAAGAAGCAATGTTTGACGCCTCTAAAAAGGTACTACTTAGTACATCCTCAGAAGTCTCCTCTCTACACTGCTCTTTTTAAAATATTTTTTAAATCTTTTCTGTAGCTCAGTCTAGCCCACATTGTGTTCCATTACCGAAGTGGCTTGCTCCCTCTCATGACACAGCCTGGCTAGGATCTGTGTAGCCTGCAGGGAAGTTCATGCGATGTAGGTCTCTAAATTTTTAGCACAATCTACAGCACACGTTACTTCCTAAAATTAATTTCTAATTTGGACCGTGCATTTTCCTTGCTTTGCGGGCAAAGCTGGAGGAGCCATTAAAAAACTAAAATGCTTGGGCTTTTTTCTATGCTGTCAGCTACATTATGATTTTGGCATGTATCAGTTGCACTCTTGAAACTGCAGTCCTGTGCCTGGCAGTTCTCTGGTCAAGTATGAAAAAAAAAAAAAGAAAATAAGATCTGTCAGAATTGAAATATGACTTTCCTGTGTTCTTCTGAAAGACTTTGTTCTTTATTCCCAATCTTAAGCCTTAAGAAAACAAGTCACCTTTGTAATGAAGTGACTTTATTTTCTGTATTCATTGAGTAGATTTTCTTGTTTGGTTTTAGTTCTTCAAATGAAGTTCTGTATTCAGTTTTTGGCCACTGTTCCCGTGAAGTTAGGGCTACAAAAGGAGCGATTTTGAAGGAAATCTAAATAGCTATTTTTTAGGGTGGCATCTCATTTCTAAATATTTCTTTGTAGTTATTGCTTGGGTTTATGCTTCCAGTCAAACACTACCGTGAACTTCTTTCTAGTTGCTGCTATGCCTCGTTTTCTATGAAAATGAGGCTGTGATACCACAGTGGTGTTCATCTCTGAGTCTTACTGTCATCCTTCCCCATCCCTTCTCTTCCCCTGGGTAGCTGTTGAATTTGTAGGCCAATCTTAAGTAAATCTGAAAGGGATTGCAAAGGCAAGCCTAGAGACTCAAGCTTTGCTCCGTTGCTGTGTCACAAGCAATAGTTCATGCTGCTTCTGGCTAAGTTTGCGTGCATCCTCCTATGCTGTTGTGTTACACAGCAGTCAGTGATTTAAAAGGGACTTCCAGTATCCCACCAGTATGCTGGGTTTACGTCAGCGTATGGAACTTGTGAAAGATACTTGAAAACACTAAGTAGCACCAAGTGGTGTGAAAGAGTAATAATTAAATTTGGTGTTCATACTTTTAATTTGGGGGG